GAAATGCCTCCAAATCTGCCCCTGCCCCTTCTCAGAACACACAACCTGCCATAATGAAGCCCACAGAAGAGCCTCCTGCATATTCACAGCAGCAAACTCAGGTAAACTTACATTATATTACATTCCCAGTGTGGAATAAATAATTGTACAAAATTATCGTTGCACTGTATTTCTTTTTATTTCTGCTTATTTTTCACATAGTTTGTGTCAAGTCTAATTAACATTAAGACATGTTTACATTATTTTTTATTTATAATTTGGGATGTAAGAAATACTGATATTACGTTCCTTTCCCTTTTTCATCTTTTCATTTCATTTTTTCCATTTTCCCCCCATCTGATTTTCCTTGAATAAATACAACAGTGCAACAAGGTAGTCTGTAGTTTTATGCCTCCTTTTGTAGCATGCTTGTATAAGGTTCATTCATTGTGTTTAACTGACCTTTATATAGTTCTCTAGTATTTACTTTTAGAAGAAGTTTAGTTTGTGCCCAACAGTCTTAGCTAGCTCTTATGCTTGAGATGATGCATTAAATGATCTGTTTTCATCAGGACCAGGCGCGGGCCCAGGCTGAGCTATTGAGGAGGCAGGAAGAGTTGGAGAAGAAAGCAGCAGAGCTTGATCGACGGGAGAGAGAGTTACAGTCTCATGGAGTTGGAGGTCAGTGTTTTACCGAAATGTACTTTAAATACTCTTTTTGGAAAACAAATAGTTTTTGAGTATGCTTATGTTATACTTTTATACCAACCAAAAGGTGATTTTTAAATGTGATTTTTAATGTGCAAATGATTATCTTTCCAGGTCGGAAGAACAATTGGCCACCTTTGCCTCAGAAGTTTCCTGTTGGACCATGTTTTTATCATGACATAGCAGTGGACATTCCTATAGAGTACCAAAAGACTGTCAAAATCATGTACAATCTGTGGATGTGTAAGTATATATTTTATGCCTTCATTACCTTTTAAGTTTGTCTATCTATATTTTACATAAAGAAATTTAAAAAAACATGATCGTTCAATGTCTTTGTTAATTTCACTTCACATAAAAAACACAAGTTCATTGATCCAAGTCCTGTGATCAAAACAATCGAGATGAGTTAGTTTGCTTTTGCTTTTAATTCGATGTATAATGACCATATAAACAATTATAAACAATGTGTTTTTATAATTGTATTGTAACCTCAGCTGAGATACATTTCTTACCACAGTATTCTGGGTCACTTTGCTTGGGGAATCTTTGGCACATGTCTGATTTGGTTTACTTCATTAACTTTTTCAATAGTGATTTAGATATTATAGCTTTAAGTATCCGATCCCCGATATCAATCTGATATTTTGAAGCAATATCTGATCAAGAACATTTTTCAGGATTTGTGCAGATATCCAGTACCAGTATCAGTGCATATTCAGACTACTCGCTCACTAATACACTGAAGGGCCAGGCTAACTTGAAATTATTATTATTTATCGAACTATTATTTATTTTCTACTTTATTGAGTATTTACGTTGTTTTTGTTGTTTGTTTACCCAAGACAGTCTTAATATTTACTTTATTAAAAACTGTTTTATTTCTGCATTATTATTTTCTTCATGCAGTTCATGCAGCAACCCTTTTTGTGAACATGTTTGGCTGCCTGGCCTGGTTCTGCGTGGATCCAAATCGTGGTGTGGACTTTGGTCTTGCCATGCTTTGGTTCTTGCTTTTTACACCATGTTCTTTTGTCTGCTGGTACAGACCGCTTTATGGAGCATTTAGGTAAGACACACCCCCATTATTCATCTTACATGTCTGATAAACTATTTTTATGTTATGGCTCACCTCTAAATACTCTTTGTTTGCAGAAGTGACAGCTCGTTCAGATTTTTTGTCTTCTTCTTTGTCTATATTTGCCAATTCGGAGTTCATGTACTGCAGAGTATTGGTATTACTAGCTGGGGAACTTGGTAAGCTCAGTTGCTGTTTTTTATTTTAATATTGAGCACATAGCACTGACTTCTTGTGTTTGTTCTAGCGGCTGGATTGCAGCACTAACAGGTCTGAACACCAGTATCCCCGTAGGCATCATCATGTTACTTATTGCAGCACTGTTCACTGCCCTTTCTGTGGGATCTCTCATCATGTTTAAAAAGGTCGGTATTGTCCTGGCCTATTTTATGTGGATAAGTATACTGTGTAAAGGGCGTTGTGTGATATTTGTCTTCTTTTGCAGGTACATGCTCTGTACCGCACCACAGGTGCCAGTTTTGAAAAGGCTCAACAGGAGTTTGCCACTGGAGTCATGTCAAACAAGACGGTTCAGACCGCTGCTGCCAATGCTGCAGCTAATGCTGCTACCAATGCTGCGCGTGGAGCCTTCAAAGCCCCATAAGTATTCATAGTACATACGTATGTACACGGTTAACTTACACATACACCCATAGACATAACCATTTCAGAGAAACAGCACGGCCCCTCATACTCTTATAACAATATCTCTTTATGAATGCTGTAATGTTCAATTGCTAAACAACCCATTGTCATGTGTGAAAGAAAACAGAAATTGTCCCTCTTATAATTAGTAAGAAAACTGCAACAATTATCCCATCAGTAACTTCCTAAAACCACCAAAACACATGAATTTTATATTTTAGTCACTACAATTGTTACTGATTAGACTACAGGCTATTTCTCTTTAACATTTGTGAGGAGCTGATTATTTGTATTTTTGCATATCAATCTTAAAGTGCAATGAATGAGTCCATGTTTTCCTTTCTAGAACATGGCTGTGACGATATCTCTGAAATGTAAATGAAATGTACGTATCTGCACTGTATATTGCCTTTTTCAGTAACCAGAGATATGAGTCTGAACAGAAAATGATTGTGTTCCTTGTGAGAACTGGACTTTAGGTCATACGTCACTTTTATTGGCAAAGAAGGCTGGGTGCAGCATTGCTGTGCTTCACTCCAAATTGACAGCATGATAAAGACATGCATGTTTAGCTCAACATTTCTATGGCAAGGTCATCGTGTCCACAAAGTACTAGCCTTTTGTTGTAGCTACAAGTGTAGCTGGCTTTGAGGAATGTCAGACTCCTTTTTGCTGTTGGGTTTGGTAAGAAGTGAAGCTTCTGCATGTCCTTATGGCTATTTGATTAAATTGGCTTTGTTGGGCACTATTACTAACCATAATAATTGTACAAGAAATGGTTGTCAGTGGTTGGCCATCACACATTGTGGACAGGATAATTTGTTTTATAATGGGTTTTGAATGTGTGGTATATTTTCCATTGTGCTTTTTTCCAAAACTACTGAATACTAAAACTGATAGGTCAAATATGGATAACTACAGTGGATAACATTAGTATTGTTATGATCGTATCACTACACCCATAACCAGAAGTTAAACTTTACTTTTTAATGGTATTAGATACTTTTACATCTGTCATTTTAACTATCACTATTAACTGTAGTTGGAAGCATTTTCTGGTTAATCTAACTATTAAGGACACAGACCAGGCACAAACAGTCAGTATTCAAGTTGTGCCGCTTTGAGAGGAGTCATTGCCAGGTTCAAGTATTTGAAGACTTAAGTAATGTCATGATTTGTTCAGTTATTATCAGTGATATTAGTGTTGTACAGACTTCTGTCACTTCATGAAATCTGGACGTTGATGGCATTTTGTGTATTGCCCTGGCTAGCACCTGAGTTAGTGGTGAATTGTGTGCAGATATGTCAAGAACTGACTCTTTTTGCTGCTGTTGCTCTAAATATGTGCAGACAAAATGCTTCTGAAAGTGTCAAGTGGTCAATACGTTTCCATGTTATATTATAGGCCAATATTATAGCAGTATTTTTTTTTTTTTTTTTTTTTGAGAATTCTGTAATGAAGTCATTGCACATTGTTGTCCATTTTAGTGCAATGGGTTTGTTTTTTATTTATGTTTTAATTTAAATTTGCATTTCAGATATTGCTCTGTTTGGTTTAAATATACATGTCTGTGCTTTTCATAGCAAGTTAGCCAATGAAAAATTATTTGTCCCAGAATGAGTGCTTGTGTTGAAAGAGTGAATGGTGGTATGATGAGCGATATCCCTCAAGTGTAATTCAGTGTACTTAAAAGCTGTGAGAAATCTACCAAATGTCCATTTGTTTTTATGCGTGTTTATTGTGTTTTATTTGAAATTATTACTTTTTGTTTTGGTCACACTACTTTCATGTCTCATTTTCACAGTTTTGTCTAGCCATGTTTGGCAGTGTATTCTATTTATGAAACCAGTTTGCAGTACAGAATGAATTGCTTGGATAACCCTGACATAGGACTGACGTTTTTGATCTGTGATTATATTATTCACTGAATCAGAAGATATTTGTCTAAAAGGGACACCTGTATATTTTGTAAACTTGAAAATTTGATCCACACAATCAATCATATGTAAAAAAGAAAAGTTACACACACTGTCTGGCCTTTGTCGCATGTGAAATAGTTTTGCGTTTTGTATATTTATGGTATTAACATGAATAAAAATTTGAAACAAATCAGAGGATATTGTGCTTCTCTTGAGGTCATTTGATATTCCCCATACTCCTCTCCCTGTAAGGTGCAATCTGTAACTTTCTAGTAGAGGCTCTGCCACCTGCTGGATTCCATGATAATGTTTTTCGCTTGTTAAATGTTTTTCCCTGGAGAGTTTTACAGGATGGGATTTAATTTAATTACTTCCATGGAGACAAACAGGCCACATCACAAGGCCGGCGTACAGGTCAGAGCTTTGAAGAAGTAGGCCTGTTCACAGTAATAATGCATGTTTTTACTGTAGTTTAGAGAAGTAAGAACACATGTAATTGAATAGGTACAAGATATATTTGCTTAATGCCATAGTGTGGAACATCCCAGGCAATAACATATCAGTGAGACAAGCTGATGGCAGACCATCTAGAAAATCAGAAAAGTTGCACAGTGGATCTTTAAGTTTCTCATTTAAGATCACCAGATAGAAATACACATGGACATTTAAAGTTATTCACATACTTTCTATTGTCAGTGTTACACAACAATGTCAGGTGCATCTCTAAAATGTGTTTTCTGGCATACTTTCATTTATCTTCACAGTCTCACGGCTGAACACAGGAACGGAATTATTGCACCATAAGCATCATAATATATACAGTATTCTAAAAAAAAAAGAAGCAATACAAAAATGTGACAAATTCATTACAGAGACAAAGTGCAAACCCCATTTCAAGGATTTTTTAAGTGAATTAAAAGTATATTATGCAAAGTTGACTCTTGTGAGCTTTAAGACATTTTAGAACCTATTGCAACAACACATCATCAGTAGGGTAAAACTAACCTGTCTTACGACAGCCCAACGTCATCAGAAGCATACCTGGAGTTGTGTTTTCTTTCATTCACATATATTTGAATAATCCTTTATTATTAATCTACATTTCAAAATCTCAAAATGCTCTGTTCCATGATGTGGTAGTTTTCAAGTTAACAGCTACCTTTTATCATTTCTTCAGTACAGATTGGCAATTCCAGGAATGAAATTGTTCAAATGGAGTTTAAAAATACAGTGCTTTCTGTATTACCACGACATCATTAGGTGGAACAGAGTGTTTTCAGAGATAGAGGAATTCAGCCTAAATATGCAGAGTTTGCACTTTAAGCAACTCTGGGTACATTGTTGATGAGGAACCAACATTATAACATAGATCAGATAATAGGGTAATATAAGCCCTTTAAGTGGTGCTGCTTAAAAAACAGAACAACTGTGCAACTGTTGAGTAAAGGTCAGCAAGTAAGTCTTACAACTGATCACTGTAACTGGTCAACAGTAACTGGTAGCAAGTCTGTACACAATTGTTAAAACATCATGGCAGGTGAAATAATGACTAATTATTGTAATGCTAGTTCATAGAGAAAAGGACAAAAGCTGTTGCTAGTGTCATACCCAATCCAAGCTTGTCAACAAAGACGGTGTTATGATTTCATCTTTCAACAAACTACCCTACCTTACCTTTCTATAAATACAAACTTAAAAGATGTTTGCAAGTCATCCTAATGCTCAGAGCAGGCATATGAGACTTTTCCCCTCCTCTATCTCCTCTTGTACTTTATCACTAGAGGTGGCAATCTCTGCTTGTGCTGACAAAACGGCACAAAGGAAAGTGGCCAGTGTTCCTCCTATAGCTGCGTAGAACGCCCAGCCCAGTGAGCAGGCTGCAGGCCTGAAGGGCAGTGCCTCCAGACCACAGTAGCTCTTCACTTTGTCAGACCCCCATCCAGCAGGGTACAGCATCAGACCCACCATCAGGAGCAGCCCTGGGTGAGAAAAACATGTCAGCATGGTCAAAGGGCAGCTGGCAACTCGATTACGCAATGTCAGAAACATTCGTGGCTTAAAGGCATTTGTTTTGCTCGAATGGTAAAAATGTCACATAATCATGGTAGTAAAACAGCTGTTGATTAATGTCTGTGTGCAAGTCCAGGCCTAAAGATGTGTTGATGTAATTCCACATGTTTTAACAAGCACCATTAGTTGCTATGTTTGCTGGTTTGGAGCTAGCAACTCTTAAGTTGTGAGTGGAGATTCCAAGAAAATACATATTTCCCAAAGAAATTGCATGAGTGGTATTCATTGAACCAATATGCATGCACTGTTGTGTATTGGGCGTATAACGTTGTGGACATTTCTCACCTCCAATAGCCTGCAGGAGACCACAGATGTTGAAAATGCTCTTCTTGAGGATGCTCTGGAAGCACAAGCTGAAGATGGAGATACAGGCCACACAGCCCAACACTAAGGTACCAGCTGAAAGGAACAACATGGCAGCCTGCCAGAAGCCACTGGCCACCTCTCCGAATGAGGCTGCATAGGGTCCGCAGATGACACCCACCCCTTGTGTGCCAATGCGAAGGCATCGGCTGTACAGCCCCAGAGACGGCCTGTACTGACCGGAGTCCACACCCTCGCCGTTTACACTGGGGTCAGAACGAGGGAAACCCAACAGCCAGTCAGGACTCATGAAGGCCACCAGCTCAGCAAAGGCCACAATGATGCTGAGCAGAGTCCAGAGCAGAGAGCGACACGTCACAATCACGTGACACATGGTGCACACAGTCCACGAAGAGTCTCTTAGAAGGTGCTCTGCTCTGTGAGCAGCTCCAGGGAGCTGATTTCAGAGGTTGTTCTGTCCTTTTGTTTACTTTATTTCACAGAATTTGTTCTGTTATATATCCAGTTATAATGCACCAAAGCAGCTTCCTTCAGCCATTGCAGCATCTCTGAAACATCAGACAAAATAAAGGTTAGAATATAGGCCAATCATTCACAGTGTGTTGATAAAACTGTTTGGTTCTGTTACTGTTTGTTAAATTGTACAGGACAGTGTTCATTTTACGCAGTGTCTGTGACTTTGTAGACAAGAGACATAGTTTTGGACAGGTTGTAAGTTACAGAGCCTTCCTTTCCATCCAGTGTGAGTCACTAAAGTGAATTTACTGAGTGATTGTAGGAGCCCCTCCTCATTGCAGGTCCCTAGGGAGACTGGAGACTTCCCAGACAAATGCTAGTGCAATGAGCAACAGTTCCAGATGTCTGTAACAGTGAGTATGACTAACACGCAGCAATCTACTGTAAATAATCATGTTTATACTGTCATCACATTACTCATACTGAACCGTGTGCACTGAGCGGCCACAGATCAGGGCTGTTGTCATGGGAATAAAGCATGACATGAGAACTACATTTTACTAAAACAGCGGATATGGAGTAATCTTCTTTAAATATAAAACAGGGATTCTTAAATGATGGGTTTGACTGTGGCAATGTCAGGAAGGGCCTTTGACTAGAAAGTAGCTGGTTGAAATCTTGTTCTAAGCTCTTGCTGTCTCATTGCCAACAAATGAAACAGAATTTCATTAAAAATAAAATTGGTTCCCAAAAGTGCAATGGCAGTTTGCTCTGGATTTTTAGCACTATGATTTTTATGATTGGCATCTTTCTTTTTTGACAAAAAATAATATTCAAACATCACATTATCATTATTAGACAATATTCAGTTGATATTTTGAGAATGAATCAGAAATGCGCCTGTAAATGTAATATGTTATCCAACAATTGAAACCACTGTAAAATAACCACTAAAGAGCTGAAATAAATCCATTTAGGCCTTGTTTGGAAGATTGCACTGGAAATTTTCAGTTTTATAAAACATTTTCCTCTAATAGATGCTGTATACACAATTAGGGGTGTCAAATTATCGCGTTAATTGCGATTAATTAATTACAGTCATATTTAGCGCGTTATATTTTTTAATCGCGTTAATCTCATTTTTTAATCTCTAACTTTACTGTTTCTGTATGCGAGTTGCTTTATTATAAAACCTGTTTTTATGTGTTGTTGGGACAACAACACACACACACACACAAAAACACATTTATAATTTTTTTTTATTTCGGTAATTCCACTCATTGCCGGAAACCCACACAAAACGCGCGCAGTAACAGCGACGTAAACGTCATGTTCACGTTGGCGGCGTCAGTCGCACAATGGACGAGGTCGAAGAGCCAGTAGAACAGAGTCAGCAGTGCACAGGTAAAAACACATTCATGTCTTGGAAATTCTTCTCCCGACGTGAAATATAAAAGAAAATAACAAATATAAAATCGCCTACAACTTAAATGTCACTGGTGAAAACAACCTGCATAGGCTCATGATGTCTGCACTACTGTCCTATAGTGACCTGCCACATGAGGGGACACGCACACAAACACACACACAAACACACACCTTCATCATCGTCATTAACCTGAGAACGCGCGGACCACGTTTCCTTCCGTAGTTACTGCGCGGACACCGACGTGCTCCCGTGAGCCGCGTATGGATCGTGTTTTCTCGCGTACCGCTGCGTAAACCGCGCTTCCTCCTGTGCGCCTCTAAACCAGAACTAACACCAAGACTAAAACCAGGACTTATCCAGTCTAGGACTAAACCGGGACTAAACCAGTCCAGGACTAAACCAGGACTAAACCAGGACTAAACCAGAACTAAAACCAGAACTAAAACCAGGTCTAAACCAGGAATAAACCAGGACTAAAACCAGAACTAAAACCAGGTCTAAACCAGGTCTAAACCAGGTCTAAACCAGGTCTAAACCAGGACTAAACCAGAACTAACACCAGGACTAAAACAGGATTAATCCATTCCAGGACTAAACTAGGACTAAAGCAGGTCTAAACCAGGACTAAAACCAGTGATCTCATATATAAAGCATTTCTCTATCAATAATATGTTTAATATGGTTAAGGAAAGACTGGACTTTTTATTGTTTTTAAGTAGACAAAGGTTATTATGTTCAGATTTCCTAGTCTTTGCTGCTTTACAGCAAAAAGTTTCTTATTCATGGAGACTTGGGCTCAACAGCCAATTTGGAGAGATTTGTTAAACAATAAATGACTTTATAAAGTCACTTTTTTTAATCTATATCAGTCTTTTGATCTGCCACAATAATGTAATAATGAATTTAAATGAAAATACCTCAAGTTGAAGGCTTTTCTCAGCAATTTTTAGGTGAGATTAAAATGAAATTAATTAGATTAATTAATTACAGATCATAATTAATTAATCTCTAAATTGTTTTAATCGCATGACAGCACTATACACAATATTTTCGATTATCTACCACCTGTAACTACCACTGACTTGTCGAGTAGAAATAGAACAGAGCACACTGTTTGATATAATCTAGGGAATTTAAGATGTGGCTGATTTGTGTCTCAGATTGGTGAACTTCAAAACATGTGGTGATAATGACTAGGTTGCGACCATGACCGTATCTAAAGAGCAGGTATGAGCAGGAGCATTGAGATTTGAAACCACGATGTATGACTGATGTGGTTCAGTTAAACTTCATATCTTCACAGCATGTTTTCAACTTGCTTTGCTTTGAATTTGTATGAATTGTATGTAAAAAGGTTCTAGTTTGTATTGACCTGAGTTTGTGAAACTGTTGTTATTATCCTACCATTTCCACAGCCAGAATGCTGTCATTGAGAAGGTATTTGTTGTATTCTCCTGCTATACTTGCATCACAATTAGAGGTTACACAAAACCGCTGCTCTATAGTAAATACTGTAATTACTTGCCTCAGCAGCAACCTAAAGGGCAAAATGAAGGGGTGCATACAACTGAAAGACTCATGCGGATATTTAGCCAGTGAGACATACTGTACATACTGAATGCCATTATGGTTCTGTTATTACAATGTGTATACAAGTAATGTTGTTTCTATTAGAGATAGACTAATACATCATTTTGTGGTTATATTCAACCCATATTTTAACTTTTAAGTGTATGGGTTAGTGGATGTAAATCTCCAGCAAAGGTTGATATTTTGTTTGGCCCAAGCAGATGTTTAAATATACATAAGGAATATAAACATAAAGACTCACTTGAACACTTTAGTCCAAAAAGGGTAAGGCGAAAATGTGACTACACTGCTCACTTATCCATTTTTGTAGTAAAGCAATGTTATGGATGAGTTCATAGTGATATTTCTTAAGAAGAGAGTCCATGTCTTGTTCCAGATATATTTTACTATTACTGTGCATTGTTTGCCCAAAGGAAATTACACAAATAAACAGGAAGCAACTAGGAAGTACTCGTGTCTGTCTAGTTTGCTATCTTAACAACAGGCAACATTTAGGCTAACTATAAAGGTCACTAGTGAGCAAGGTCATGGGTACTTGAAGTAGTGGGTGATGTTTAAATACAATTCGGCTCAGGGTGATATTCACAAAAATTAATATAAAATATGGCTGTAAATATATTGGTTGAGGTTCAGATAATGCACAAAAAGCGAATAAACAGTAAAATTAAGAAAATGCAGAAGGATAACTCAGCACTAAAAGATTGTTTCACTTGTGTTTTTAATATGATGGCACAAGTTAAAATGTATTATTCTAGTAAGGACTATTGATAAATACAGTCTATTTGTTACAAAAATAAAAAGCAGGGATATAAAGATTAAACACAAAAGTTAGCTAATCTCTGTTTGAATCCCCTAGTAAAATATTCAGACATGACAAAAGAAACTAATTAAAGAAATAACACAAAAATATTTTCTTATTCAAACCAATTGCGTGAGTGAAAAAAGTGCTTGATAATTCCATAACCAGCACTGACGCACGGAGGAGCCATGCCCTTTCTGTTTGTTCAAGCTGAACTTAAGATCTTAGATTCACAAGATGATGAAAGCCACCTACTTGTACACTGGATCTATCATGGACCTGCTTGTTCCCACACCACTTTGCTGTATTAAGTCCTCTTCACCACAAAGGATTATATTCTTGCACCCAGGGCTCAGGGCCAACTTAAACAGAGCTTTCCAATTCCTAATTCATTCTCCTTGCTGCTAAGAGACAATCCTTTTTTCATGAAACAACAAAAATGCGACATGGAAGCCAACAGTCAGCTAGAGTGGTTTGTGTTTGGCTGTGAACCTGTAAGGCCCTGTGTAATGAAGCATAGCCCCTCAGCATGGGCCCAGGTGCCGACAAAGCACAACACAGGAGGCATATGTGGGTCAGTTGACTGTGGGTGAAGAGGAGGCCGCACAGCAGTAAATCTACAGTAATTGGTCTATGATATGAGAAGGGCTTCAATGGCATGCCAAGGTGCTGAGGTAATGAGTGCAAATGAGTAAGTACTGACAGTGGGTGGTAGAGTGGCTGTACTTGACCAATAGCATTGACCAACATGAGTGGACATTAAGAGCAGAGGATATTCATAGGCCTTCATAAACTTTTATAGGGGCACAATATCAGTTGCAACATAAGAAATGGACCCTCTTCCCATTTCTGTTAGAAGGGGCCTGTTTGAGGCATCTTGCCCCAGGCCCCCAAATTTCTGTCAATGAGCCTGAGTATGTAGTATAATGACACAGATCTTCCTACCTTGGACTGGTAAATTGATTACCCACAATATTACTTTGTGAACATGTTTATAATTTCACTGTTTTTCTGTTTCCAGAAGGATTTGGGGCAAGTGGTTGGAAGGAAAGATGACACAGATTGGCAAGCCATTTATTTCCATTACCATAAGGGAGCTGTGACTCGAGGCTAACCACCTCCACCACCACCACCACTGTGTATGGAGTGAATGAACAATTCATAAAATTGAGCACTTTGAGCGCCTGGAGACACACTGTTTAAACTAATGCATTAGAATTGTGTTTTGTTTGAAACCAGCTACAAAGTGTCACATGCCAAATTTTTAACTGTGTTTTTATTGTTACCCAGACAACGTTAAAACATATGGTGAATGTGTATGTCACTTATCTCTAGATCTCATAGACTAGTTTTCAAGTCCATCCCATACAAAATATTTGCCACAGACATTAAGATAAGATAATCCTTTATCATCTCATGGGAGAAATTTGTCTAGGGACAGGGAGAATATAGGGAGAAAATATAAATGTATAAGATTTACCTGTGGCCAAATGGCCATGTTAAGTTCCAAAGCTCAATATCGCTCTGATGATTCTGTAAAAACAATTGACATTCTTGTGTGTGTTATCAGTCAGAACAAGGCAGGACTTAACCTATCCCTCGTTCATAAAAGAATGCAGGCAGCCCTGAGAGTTAATGTATCACTTGAGGAACTTGATAACCAAAATGTTTACTTTAAATTTATATTTATTTTATGATTATTTCTACTTTGTATCCACACCACTTTTCATTATTAAATAAATCAAAACTGTAGTGGTTATTTTAACATGAAGTTAAAATAATGCTAAAATAGCCTATAGTAGTTTAGGTTTCTTATTATCTTTAAAATTTCAAAACATGAATCTTTAGTATGAAACGAACAAAGGTGATCTAAGGACATCATGCAGTCATAACACAGAGATTAGTGAGAGTAGCAGCCTTGTCTTTTCCACATTTCATCTGCACTTGTTAATACAAACTCAGTATAAACAGATCAACATTTTAGCCTTGAGGGAGACCAAGCTGGAATTTGAGCAGCTCAGATCATGTCTGCCGAATCACAGGTGGAGCAGAGAGCCTGAGCCATGTAGTGGCATGTAAGAGTATATTTTCCAAATTATGAAAAGAAAGACAGGACCCGCAGCTGTGAAGTTGTTCTTACATTTTCAGAAAAGTGGTAATGTTAAGCTGACTCCACCAAAGAACAACAAGGTCTTGCTCTATGAAGCAACAGTCTTTTTTTTCAAACTAAGCGTTGCCATGTGGGTTATTTGGCAGACCTTTTCAAAGGAGGAAATGGGACATGGTCTAGTGACAGACACCTCATGTCTCTAACGTGATGAATGATGCTGTTGGATCTGTTTTGAGCAGTTGGTGCAAGTCAATTTAGAAAAAGAGGTTACATTATTTTAAATTAAGGATGATAAAATATCATATTGTGTTATGATGAATAATGCTGACTTCATGATTGTTGGCAATTACTGACACCATAACCCAACGACAGTGACTATTCTTCTTCTTCTTATAAGTTACCATTCCTGCAGTACATGACCAGCTACGAAATTGCAAAATTCAATGTTTTACTGAAAATTTGAACATAGACACTAGACAGACTGACAAACAGACAAACAGATATCCATCCTCTTGCATTCTTTAGCTATAGGCATGCGTTGTACAGATGTATGACATGTGATTTGGGTTTGTTTACAGTATTTACAATAACACATAAAGGTTCCTTGTTACAGTGTTCTCCAGTCTCCTGTGCTGTTTCAGTCAGTGCCACTGCAGACAGCATTTCTAACTGCAGAAGCTGACAGACAGTGCATCACAATGATCACTATAATTAATACATTTATATAAACTGATGTTATGTACTATAGTATGTATTGTATATTGCCTGATGTATAAAGTATAAAGTATATCTATCTATCTACCCTTCTATAACAAATTCCTTACTTGCAGTCATCAACAGTTCAACACTGAAAAGCCCGCAGCCATTGGAACAACACACACACACTAATAAAAATACAAATACAATCAATCATCCATCCTAGAAAAAACTTGTGCCAAACTCACATGTGCCCATGTAGAGGTGGGAGATATGTCTTGAAACTTGATCTGATCTGACATATGGAAAATTTGTCATTTGTAATAAAAATAATTTAAAAACTGCAAAAAGAAAATATACATACGCGCACGCATGCACGCACACACACACACACACACACACACACACACACATATATAGTCCATATTGCTCAACCCTTTGTCACAAAGACCCCTCAAAGACATACCACTGCTGTCCCAGAATGCACCTCTTCATTCTCTAAGACCCCTGCACATTGACCACAGATCTAGCAACCCTGACTCAGAGGAGGCCCCTCAAGGACCTTCAGTGGCCCCCACATTTCACTGACACAAAGCCCACCCCCTCCTCCTGCTGCCGCTCTCTTTGAGTGTCCAAATGATGAACTATTCACTTGGCCTTCATTTGCACATAGACGCCACAACTCAAATTCCTGGTCTTATACATTGTATTTTTACTTTGCATAAAACATGTTTATTTATTTTGTTTAAAGTGATCATTTGGCATAACCAAGTCCACTTTTAACATTGCAGTGTTGTTGTGGAAAATGTTTAGTAATTGTTTGGTTATTGTTTATTCTTACATCAGTCAGGATAAATAGTCAAGAGTTTTCCGGATTTGTTTAGCTTATAGTGGAGTGACTCTTCCCTACAGAACAGTTAACCTCATGTGTGGCTCAAATGGAGGACATGGCTGGGTCTATCATTTTTGTTTTTATATTTGTGACATAACAAATAAATACACAGTAATACACAGACTGTAGTCCTATTCCAAAGACTTTCAAACATCTGCTGAACAGCCGCTTAATTCATTCGATCGCACAATGCAGCATGTTGGGTAATGTAATGTAACGTAATGTAATGTAACGTAATGTAATGTAATGTAGGGTAATTAGACTCAAGTAAATGTAATAGGCTACAACAAAGTCAGGATTTGGCTTTAAGGGCCAATCAGAAATGCTGCGGTTTTGTTTTTCATTACATATTTTGCTTATACAAGAGCATATGTCTTACTTTCATAATAACCAAAATCCCGTAAACCTCCAGCCTTACAGGCTATTGGCTGATGGATTGTCATTTCAGAACAAAAGTTTAAGCTACTTTAAAACAACGAGAAAACAATAACAACCTACAACCCACGTGGCGCACATTGTTTGAAGTAAATCTTGAAAGTGTAAAACTTACGGGATGATTCTGGAGATCTTGTCTTTGTTGTGAAGTGTTTCCTCGCGGTCAGCCCTGTGCCTCAACTCATTCACTTTGCTTGTTTCAGCAGCTCGCGTTCTTCCGTCGTTTCTTTCATGGGCCGTCCCACCGACATCTGACGCCTTTTCTGCGCCCCTGTCCCGCCTCCAGCCTCTGCTTCAATATGGACTGGACTGTCCGGACAGGACTTTTTACACAAAAATATGACCTCTACCTCCTTAAAAGGTGCATTCTGTAACTTTTCTGGTGGAGGGTCCCTCTTCATGGAGATGTTGTCTGGAATGTTTCACAGTTTTTCTAGTATTTTTGATCGATAAAACCACCTGTAATTAAATAAATGTAAGGTAGCTGTTAAATGTCATACTGTGGAAGATCCCAGGCAGAGTATTGACATCTCCATAGAAACAAGCAGGTGACGGACCCTCCACCAGAAAAGTTACACAATGCGCCTTCAGCCACTGGTTTATAACGTGTTTTGTAGGCCCATAGGCTAGTATATTGTCGTTGTCTATTTTGTTTATATCAGATTTTTCATTATTCTTTTCTGAGTAGGACAGTTGTCAGATTGACTGTGACTCTTTCATGTCCGTTTGAGCTCCATCTTACACAGTCTTGCCTCACTCCTCTCTGCCCTATCTTCATTAATTCCTCTGTCCACATTAGATCGACATAAGGATGCCCTCCCGTGGACTCTGAGGGGGACAGGGGCAGAGCTGGCTGGGAGTAGGCGCGTGTTGTCATGTCTGTTATGGAGGGAGGATTGGCTATAACTTATTTTATGTGGAAATAGCCCTCTCCTTGTTTGGCCCTTTTCCAGTCGTGTTTTGTTTTGAGGTAACATCAACCAGTCTTCCTCCGGGAATTTCCACCAGTTAAAATATAATGCTGTAATTGAGGTCAGCCCAGGACATAGGGCCGCAGAACAATGTTCAACACCATTTGAGTAAATCCAATTATAAACATACGCTGTGTACAAAAAGTGTATCACAAGTTCTGTGTTACAAGCTATATGAATGTGGCAGTACACACCATAAACCTGGTATTTATTTATTTGAAAGAAAATGCAAAAAAATATTGATTTCCTTTCTGCACTGGTTTATTTTTGGCGCTCTTATCTCAGTTCCCACTAGATGGAGCTATAGTCTAAAAGTTAATCTCAAGAGTTATTTTACACAAAGCTTTGAAGGCACTAGTGCTTTGGAGCTGTAGGTCTAGTGCTTGTTAGTCATGGATTTTTCAAACGATAGAACAATCTTAAGATTTAGGCCGACTTTGTATAGCCTACTACATGTCTATACTTTTGTTCTTAATGGCCTCATATTTCACCAAAAATAATGAACAAACGCAATGTCAGATCTCTTCATGACATTTTTCATCGCTTTATAGCAGTTCACCTCGTGCTGAGGCAAGCCCGCTCCGTTAGAAATCTTGGCCGACGTGAACGGTCCAACTACACAAAGTGATTGTGAAGTCTGAAGGGAGGGTTTTACTGAAGTAGAGGAGGGGGCAGCCGCGGGGGAAGCACAGAAGTAGTGGCGGGTGGGTGAGTGGTTTTGTGGAACTGAGAGGAAAACATTAGCTTTCTTCTCCGCTTCACTTGAACATTTAGAAATCAAATTTTCTTGATCTTGGACGGGAACAAAGAGAGGACACACGGTAAGACGCGCCTAGTTTGATCGACCTTGGCGGGACAAGAGATGCGAGTTCTTGCCCGTGGGCTGCGAAGGAAAGCATGGGTGTGAAAGATACCAGATGCGGAGATCTAGGAAAAAGGAAGCTGTAAGAACACTGCTGCGTTTGAGTGTTTGTCTCATTTGCCTCGACTGTTTATGAACGGAAACAAACTTTGGAGGGAAGATGATTCTCTTGTGATTCTTTAATCCGTGTCTGGAGTCAATGAATGATTGTTCTAACCTTTTAGATGATTATTTGGGGTTGTAAAAAGACAATAGCCTAAGATCTTTATTGTGACAATTTAAACAAGTTAGAACAATGATGGATCATAGATTTAGGATGTTCTCTTTGTGTAGGTCTACAGTAGAAGTAGCCTACATTGTCAGCATATGATGGATGATACAGGCTACACACTGTAACAGTGCATACAGTTTGACTGTATATCCCATTACTTTGTTACAACATACACTTGCAGGTACTTGCCAAAGCATGTTTTTATTCTTATACAGACACAGAAACAATGTGCCCTTCTGTAGAGTGATTTTGTTGTAGGCTGTGGACATAGGCAGAGGCTGTTTGTTTACATAAACTCTTCACATATTTGTTATTGCTGTCATTGTCCATTCATCCTAACATTTGTGGTCTGAATGATTCAACTTCAGGTCGGCTAGGAGTGAGTCCACTTCCGATGACATTCAGAGTTGAACAAAAGTGTCCTGATGACCTAAGCTCAAATCAAAACTGGTAAGAAGTTTGGTTACTCAAATTAAACTTTAGTTTTAGTAAAATAGGCTAGTAGGCATGAAACATGAACGCTACTTTTGTTTTGTTAGGAGAAATTTCTATGACACTTTCAATTACATAGTAATAAAACACACTGAAATATTAATAAAATGTTCAGTTCAACTTTCATTTATAAAGAAATACAGGATGCCTAATGAGATATCGGTTTCTTTGCGGAAGTCCAAATCAAATATAGGCTATTGTAGATGATTCAGATTGAGTAAAGAAATAACAATTGGACAATACTTTTAAAATGTCTGTCAGGTCATCATTTTTGGGGGTTGGGTGTGCTGCGCAGACCACAGGAGTTTTGCTTTAAACATTAACCTGCCATACTAATAATGTTGATGCATGGACACTAAAACTATTCTTTATTTGCTGTTTATTTATAACTGCTAGTTTACTGTTCATTTGCCCACATTTCGATATGAAGAGTGAGGCCTCTGGGACATTAGAAGGGCAATGCTAATTTTAAAGGTCAATAAAAGTGTTAGCTCTTCATCAGTAACATGATAAGAGTGGCTTTGTGGTCCGAGAGGTCAGGTGAATTATTGAAGGGCTATTTGTCCATGTTTTCTCAAGCAGAACGAGGCAAAAAGAATTCATTATATTGTGGCAGCATGTCATAAATGCCTAATTTTCCTAATCGGCCTCTGTTATCACAGAAAGGTCAAATACACAGAAAGACATCTCTGAAGGTAAACTCTGAAATGCAAGGATGAATAGTCTGCAGTGATTTAATGCTGAAGGTTGTACAGAAACACCATATTAAACATTCAGGATACATTTTAAAGATAATCCTCCTTTTGCACTATTGTGTCAGTAGTGTAAATTGTTGTGTCAGTTGTGTAAAATAGGAATTTGCAGTATTATTGTTTATTGTCTATATTTTCTTCAGCAATATATGGTACTTCAAAATTTGTTATCATGACAGACCTAAATGAGAGTGCCTTTTGAGCTGCTCACTTACAATTATTCAGTCACAATTGAAATAATGATTGTTTGATACAATTGTTTGTCAAAAACAGGGCGAGGGCAAAAGGACCAGAAACAATTACCCAATTTTTGTACTTGATTGCAGCAATTGTAGCCTTGACTAAAACTGAGTCAGTGCACAATGTACAGCCCTATACGTACAGTACATGTATGTAGTCAATCCATGATATTACCTTAACTTTTTTTTTTTAATTGTTGTAGCATGTCTGTTTTTACTTTTATTACTTTTGTTGCACTTTCAGTGTTATTGCTTTAAGGGTGCAGGCTCTACCACAAACCACCAAACTTACCTTACTGTTTTTTTTTTTGTTTGTTTTGTTTAGTTTCAGTGGGTTAAATGTGACCTGGTAAAATCCAAAGAGCTTGGGAAAATACACTCCTGTTCATAGCCTTGATAAGCACAATTTGATTATTACATCTACAGTAATAATACTATGAGGTTTGAGATCAAATTTAAATGTAGTTTATATAATATTTTGTCTAGATTTTTCTTGTGGGTCATTTTAAATTGTGCTGTGTCATTTCCTTCCTCTTGACCAACTGCAGTTTTAATGGCTTAAAAAGTGACGATGATTTGAGTTGCTTTTAGGAACTCTCAAAAAGAACCTGCTATCACTGCTCCTTCCTGGAATTGTTGAGCAAGTGAATGAGAGTGGCTGCTTTTGAGCCCGACACAACACAAACCACTCTCAACATTTTCATAGATCTACAGACACATATTTAAAAGCTTATATTAAAGTCTGCGATGTTTACTGAAACTGAGCTGCAGATGGGAAACTTCACTAACCCTGTCTATGCTTCAGTGTGTGGTGAAACTATTTTTGTCCACTGGTATGATAAGACAAGAGGCTAGTTGAGCGGAGCAGTTAAACATATATGCAGTGATGGGAAGAATACTTTGAAAATGCATTAGTTACAGGATACTGAATACCTGCATTAAAATGTATTTTGTAACATATTCTGATTCAGGCCAATCAGAGTACTGTATTCTTAATACTTAGAATACTTTTACATAGAGTTGCTTTTAAATTATAGTGTAAAGACACAGCATAGTACTAAAACAAACTTTATATTTGCTTCACCTTTTCAACAGCATTTGCTATGACTAACTGTAGAAGGAAAACTGGAGCAGTTACTCAGAATTAGTATTCAGAATATGTATTCTCGGTACATGTATACAGGTACTTTCCAATACTGTATATACAGTATTAGTATTTGCCAGATAATAAACAAATAAGACCTTTTTCTTTTTTTCTTTTTTTTAATCAAACTCAAACAGGGGTTTCATTTTGATAATAGCCACTTTGTTAATAGAGCACCGTTAAATGGGAAACAAGAGATCTCTCATCAGACAAGACACCCATTCACTTCTGTGACCTTTGATCTGTGGTTGGTCACAGGTGTCTCTCACACTGGATACTATTACACACTTTTCTTTGCTTCAAAAACCTTTAATTCTTGTTTGTGGCCACGCAAGACACAATGTTCCAATTGAAAGGTAGGAACAATGGAAGCTTGGCAAGTGTCACAAAAAGTCACACAGTTTGATCCATATTTAAAACATTTTTTTTTTAATATGACATATGGAA